CGTCGAATGTTTACCACCCCCACCCCCCCCCCCCCCCCCGCAGGCCAAAACTTAATGAAATAATTCCAAGGTTTGCCTCATTTCCTAATAGTGGATTTTTTTAACCAAAAGAAACAACTTTAACTAAACTTTCCAGTCACCTTCCTGAAGGGAGTAGGCTTGGTAAATAAAATGTAAATGGAAATGCTATTAAACACAGCATAAGATACAAGGCTTGTGCATAGTTCCGCCTTGATATGCAATTAAATTACAGCAAATTCCTCTTTAAATAATATCGTTTGGAATCCTTCTTTAAGATTCAAGGATGTCTGAGGTTAAGTAGCTTTTAAAACGTCAGTTCTAAATGGCTTATGCAATGAATAGCTACCTTTAAATCCTAAAACCATTATAAATATGCTATACATATGGATGCCAGTTTATCTCTACATATTTCTTTTTAAAATGAGGAAAGCATTCATAAAAAGCTCCTTGGCACACTTTATTTTAGGAAAGCAGATGTTAATTTTTTCACGTATCATTTTATGACCAAGTACATGTGTAACATTGGAAAGCATCCAGAACGCCTCTATTATTTGCTAAATGACTGTTAGTTGAGGCATATTATTCTCTGTATAACCAAGGTATAGGTTATATCAATAAAATAAACATCTGTGATTTTTACCAGGAGAGGAAAAAAATTAAAAGGTTCTTATAAAAGTGGGGAAAGCATGTGTGTAAGAAGAGCACACCTGCAATGGGGCAAATGGGCTATTTATACTGCTCTGTGCAAAACAGGCTCTGCTGTATATCAGAGCTTAGTTACATTGTTTAAAATAAGGTTAGAAAAAATCTTCCATGCTAAAACATGATTGTCATCGCAGCTTTCACACAAGGTGATAACATTGACTGGGCACTATTTAAAATGCCTTGGGATGTTATCTAGGCAAGTAAAGCTTTAGCATATGGTTTGGCTCATGGGAATGTGTTATGCAGTTTTCTCCACTAAGTGTCTAAGTTTGAGAATTCCCATCTACTTCAAGTGACTCTCATTCACTCACTCGTTACCAAAATATCTTTGAGATACGTTCCTATGTGTAAGTTGCATGAGGACTCGAGTGCATGGGATAAACCAGGCAGAGTGCAGTGGCATAATAATTAACCATATGTAATATTTATAGTTCTGTAATGTTTGCTAGCGCGAAGGAAAATACAGTCAATTGAGGTTCAACAAATATAGTGTTATTGACGAAATATAACGAGTAATTACACATATATTTATATATACACACGTGTGTATATGCACACAGAGGAACATCTATTTATTAAATGTCACCAAAGCTCTCTGCACCTAAATGCAGCAGTGACAGACTGTTCCTTTCTGAGCGTTGCCCTGTGTAAAGGGGCCAGGGAGGAGGTTTTTAACGTAAAATGCTACAAATATGAAAAATAGGTCACCAGTAAAATTGGTCTCAGCATGAAGTGTAATTGTAACAAAATGCTGCTGAGTTAAAATCTAGGAGCTAGCTGGCTGTGGTAGCACAATCGCAAACCATCTGGTGTGTATTAAAAGTGGCGCTGTAAATATTGCTGAAAACTAATGCATTATCAGCTTCTATAAGTGCACAGGGCCTACAAGCTTTCCATATGTTGGAGTGTGTAGATGTAGTGGAAAGGAGAGAAAGGTGTCCTATCCATCAGGAGCTTTTCAAGGGTGGGTTGCCTACTCCTTATGGAAGTTTGTCCCAAAAGAGAAAGCTAGGAGGGGAAAAATAGAGAGGTAAGATCTCTCTCTCTCTCTCTCTCTCTCTCGGAAGAGGATAGGGTAGGCAATTGCTGACGTCACTCCACATCAGTGCAGGAAAGTAAATGCTACAGAGGGAAGAGTTCATCTGTTTTCCATCACTTGTAAAGTTTTTCTTTTTTTAGAGCTAAACCTAAGTCGAGCGGAGATTTTCCCCTTTTTAGCCTGATTTCTAGAAAGTCTTTTTGGGCGCTTCCCCATTTTCCGGCTGTCCCTTAGCCTTGTGCCTAGTTCAGTTCAACGTAAGACACTGATCAAGAAGGCAGCACACACACACAAATAAACAAATGCCTGAGAGTGAAACTGCACCAGCTACGTCCATACGACAGCTTTCTGCCAACAGGAGCAGAGGTCTCCTATCTGGCATTTCTTTAGTCCAGCAACTTTTCTTCCCTTCCCCTCTCTGACCCCGTCTGCACTGGCAGGAGTTTCCCTGGAGTCAGATTCACCTTCCCATTCAGTAATCACTCCACCAATCTACTTTCCCCCCCGTTTTCTAGCCAGAAAACTTTGGCTGTCAATTCAAAGCCACTCCCGTCTCCCTTATTGTACAGAGGTCACTTACTCTTTCTCGAAGTTGGACTGTGTTCCTTAATCTTTCCTCTTCCTTCTCCTCTGGTCTTCGTTTGCTCGAGCTTTCTTTCCCATGTACACGCAACTCTTTGCTACGAGTGCTTTGTGTGGATAAACCTGCTGGTAATGACACCCCAAGTGCAATCAGAAAAGAAGTAAAACTCGCTTTTTCCCCTCTTTCAGGCTGCATTCCCTTCTGACCGCTGCCTTCTTTAATTATGGGAGCTATATTTCTTCCCTGGGAGCCATTCGTGGGGGTTTTTTTTAGGTGGAAAGGCGTTTCTGCTCAGTTATTTTTGAGCAGGGACCAGTGCCCCATATCCAGAGGCTTTGAGTGAAGTGCAGATTGAGACATATCGGGTTCCCTATAAAAGGATCATTTCATGTGGGAGGTTGGACACA